TATGCTTAAGCAGTGCTTGCGGCCTTGGGAGGGGGCGCCTCAGCCTCCCGGCCGCCCTGGTTTGCCCCACGATTTGCGCACAGTGACGTTGCCATCATGCGGCAAAGAGAGCCCAGGAGGGTCACAACAACAGCAACAACAGCAACACAAGCAACAACAATAACAACAACAAGCACAACAACAACAACAACAACAACAACAACAACAACAACAACAACAACAACAACAACAACAACAACAACAACAACAACAAACACACAACACCAACAACAGTAAAAACAACAACAGCAACAACAACAACAATCACACCAACAACAAAAGCAACGACAACCACAACAGCAACCACAACAACACAACAACAACAATGTCACTGACATCGGTAACAATAACAACAACGTCAACAGCAACAGCAGCAGTTACAACAGCAACAGCAACGTCAACACCACCACCAACAACTATTACATTGAGTGTTCGCTCTGACCTGCTCGCTTGCCATGCAACACTGAATCCCGAACCAACGATAGCCGCCCTCTTCGTCTTCGATCGTACCCCTTGAGGGTACATCTCTTTCTTGGCCGCAACATGTATTTCGTGCAGCCCCTCGGGCAGGGGGGGACAGGACGGATTGAAGGAAGGGATCAGGGGGAGGGAGGAGGATGGAGCACGAGAGAAAATAGCAAGAGGGGAGCTACTAGCAGAAGACACGTGGCAAAACCAGACGGGCAGATAGGGCGGGTAGACCCTAACGGCCGGGTCGGGAAGGCCGTCCCAGGCGGCCAGGTCGAGCAGGCGGGTTGCTGAAGCGTGCGACCTGCAAAATTCGCGAGGAAGTCTCGACTGATAGCGCGATTCTCAGTTAAATCGTGCGGAAATCCAAAGCGAAAGCGTGATTCCTGAGTGTCGAGCGCGCGGCGTCTGAATGAGTCGTGAGGAAGTCCCACGCGAGAGCGCGATGCCTGTATCCATTGACAGGAAGTCCCGCGCGAGAGCGCGACTTGGGAACACATTGTGAGGACATATGGGGCGGCAACCGCTGTTGTTGTAAACTGAGGGCCACGGGCCCAATTTGGTGACACCTCACTTCCCCTTTGAAAACTAAATGCGAGCCCCGAAAGAAGCACTTGGCCATGAGTTTTTACCCTTTAGGCCTGAGAACTTAACAACGGCAGACAACAGCAACAACAGCAGCAGCAACAACAGCAGCAACAACAACATGAACAACATAAGCAACACCAACAACCAAAGTAGCATCAATAATAGCAACAGCAACAGCAACAACAACACCCACAATACTACTACTACTACTACTGCTACTACTACTACTACTACTACTTCTACTACAGCTAAGTTCCATTCAACACGCGTGCCCCAAGCCCTGGATACCCGCCCGCTTCGTATTCGGCCGTATACCCCTGGGGGTGTATCTTCCTTACATGCCGCGTGGAATTGATACAACCGCTGAAACAGGATAAGAAACGACAGATGGAAGGCAGAGGAGGAAGGATGGATCACGGGATTAGCAGCAGAGGGGCTAGGAACAAAAAACACGTGGCAGAACCAGACAGGCGTACCGGGCGGGTAGACTCTAACGGGCGGGTCAGGAAGGCGGGCCTAGGCGGCCAGGTCAAGCAGGCGGGTTGTTGAAGCGTGACAGCATGAATCGCGAGGAGGTTTCGAGCGACATCGCGATTCCCAAGTGAATCGCGAAAAAAAAGACAACGAGAACGCGATTACTGAGCGTCGAGGGCGCAGCGTTTTAATACATCCCAAGGGAATCGCACGCGAGAGCGCGATGCCTGCATAAGATGTGAGGGTGTCCCGAGCGAGAGCGCGATCTCTCAATGAACTGTGAGGATGCATCAGGCGGGAACCGTTGTTGTTGTAGCCACGGGGCGAATAGAGGTACACTTTGAGCACGAATATTCCCTCTGATCAGATGCGCGGTGCGAGCCTCGATGGGGGAACTTCAATTGAAACACACAACGTACATCGGTGAGGGGGGGTCAACCATAAATCTTCTTCCAACATGCAATTTCAATAACACTAACATCACCAGGAACAGTAGCAACAATCATTTTCAAAGTAGTCGCTCTTATCTGCTCGCGTGCCATTCGACACGTATATCCCAAATCCTCGATACCCGCCCGCTTCGCCTTCGACCGTGCCCCTTGGGGGGTACATATCTTTCTCACCTGCAACATGTAATTCGTGTAGCCCCTCAGGCAGGGGAAGACAGGACGAATGGAAGCAAAGGGCAAGGGGTAGGAACGAGGATGGAGCAGGATGGGAATTAGCAGCAGGGGGGCTAAGAGCAGAAACCACGTGACAAAACCAGACGGGCAAATTGTGCGGGTAGACCCTGACGGGCGGGTCGGGAAGGCGGGCCCAGGCGACCAGGTCGAGCAGGCGGGTTGCTGAAGCGTGCGTCCTGCATGAATCGCGAAGAGGTCTCGAGCGATAGCGCGATTCCGAAATAAATCGTGAGAAACAGCGAGAGCGTGATTCCTGAGCGTCGAGGGCGCGGCTTCTGATTGTTGCGAGGAGGTCCCACGCGAGAGCGCGATACCTGCATACATTGTGTGGAGGTCCAGAGCGAGAGCGCGATTCTAGAGTCCATTGTGAAAAAGTATCCGGCGGGAGCTATTATTGTTGTTGTTATTGTTGTTGTTGTTGTAACTCGGGGGCCAGGGGGGCAATTTGACCTTCAAGACTTTCCCTGATCGAAAACCGGGTGCGAGGCCCTGGAACGGCATTTCACTTGGAGAAACAGAATGTGCGCCCGAGGGGGAGATCATCAAGAATCATCCTTCAGAAATGATCACTCCGCAGCAATTATGTCAAGACTCTTCGCACTTATCTTCTCGCGAACCATTCAAAACGTATCCCTACCCCTCGATACCCGCCCTCTTCGTCTTCGATCATAGCTCCTTGGAGGTATATCGCTTTCACCTGCCGCAAGTAATTGGTGCAGCCCCTGAAACAAGGGAAGAGACGACGGATGGAAGGGGGAGGGAGAAGGATGGAGCACCAAATTACCAGGAGGGGGTCCAAAGGAGAAACATGTGGGCGGGTCGGGAAGGCGGGCCCAAGCGGCCACGTCAAGCACGCGGGTTGCTGAAGCGTGCGTGACACGTAAAATGCGAGAACGTCTCGAGCGATGGCGCGATTCACAAGTGAATCGCGAACAAAACAGAGCGAGAGCGCGAATCCTGAGCGTCGAGGGCGCGGCGTTTCAATACATTGAGAGGAAATCCAACGCGAGAGCGCGATTCCTGTATAAGTTGTGATGATGTGCCGAGCGAGATAACGATTTCTTTATACATTGTGAGCAAGTGTTGAGCGGGAGCCGTTGTTGTTGTAAGTCGGGGGCCACGGGCTCAGTTTGGTGATCCCCCACTTCCCCATGTAAGAAACAAGGTGCGAGCCCAATGAAGAACACTTATATTTAAGAGCACAATGTCACCGGGAAGCGGGGATCAACAATAATTATCCTTTAGAAATGAGAATTCAAAATCAACGCGCCAACGCAACAGCAATTCACACCTTGTGACCTCACTTCAGCCACGCGCCCAGGGACAATAGTTACATGACCGTTCGCCCCACTCACTCTTCACTCTGATACACATGTGGTACACATGTTGTGATTGCCTGCCCCATGTTTTGCTCCAAGACGCCCCCGAGATTGCGCAAAACAGCGCCACTGTGGGCCCAAATGCCCCAAGATGCTGCTCTGATCGCCCGGAAAGGTGGCACCAAGATCGATCGTCCCTGGGAGACTCCCATTAGATGCCAGAGGCTTCAGAATAGCTCCAAGAGTGCGCATGATGTCCCCAAGGCGGGCCCGAGAGGCCCAACGACGCCCCCTGGAGGTCCCGAGATGGCCCAGGACGGACCCAATGCTGCCCCAACAAAGCCGAAGCATTGCCCAGCCTGGGGGGCAGTTTCAGAGGGCGCAGCCCTTCATATATGTTGCGCGTGGTCCTCAAACGATGTCTGGCGGGGCTACGCCGCAGTGACGGCAATAGCCATCGGCGCCAGGCATGGCTGGTGAGGCTTCTGCGGTCAAGCAACCAGCAGAAAGAGCCCCTGCAATGCGAGCGAGCTGCACAAAAAAATGATGCTCAAACCCCGGCTCGACGGGAGCATTGAAATCACACATTTCCCTGCGCCCTCCTCCTCAAGCCTGTCAGCGAGGGGAAAATCTAGCAATGTCGTAATCGAGTCGAAGGGAATTGCCTTCCCTTGGATCCTCTCCCCGTCGGGGTGAGGGTCCTGGGGGGTGTCCCAGGGGGGTTCCTGGGAGGGTTGGTCCCAGATACGCATTCTCCCCTGGGGGTCCCGGGGCCTCAGAAAGTACCAAGACAGGCCACGAGTGCCCCAAGAGGCCCCCGAGACCGTCCAAGAAGGCACCCAATCGCCAAACGATCGGTCCAAAACGCGTTCACGCCCTCCAGACTGCCCAAGAGGCCTCCAAGACGCCCCAAGAAGCATCCAAGAGTACTCCCGACATGGCCTCAAGAGACAGAGTTCATTGACGTTCCTGTGGTCATTTGAAAAATTTGGGCGTTCACGCCTTGTCCTCTTCCCGCCGCTCCAAGACGGCCGCAGAGGCCCCCAAGATCGCCCCAAGACGGCCCAAGTGGCCTCCAAGGGGGCCCCACAACGGCACAAGAAGACCCCAAGACAGCCCAAAACGCGTTCAAGACGGCTCAAGAGGCCCCCAGAACGGCCTTCAGAGCGTGCCCAGACGGGAGACCCGAACAGACATTTCGAGCTCGACCCAAGAGGTTCCCAAGAGGCCCCAAGAGGCCCACAAGAGGTCCCAAGGAAGCCCGAAGAGGCCCTCAAGAGGCTCCCACGAGGCCCCCAAGAGGATCCCAAGAGGCCCAACAATTCCTCCCCAGAAGCCCTCGAGAGCCTTCCGAAGAGACTCGAAAGAAGCAATCCCTGATGACTCTGGCTCGCGTCAGCGTCGTCGTCGTCGCCGCCGCCGCCGTTGTAGTCGTCGTTCTCCTTCAGGGTCGGCGGCACCGGCCGTCAGGCCTTGTAGCACCCTAACACGCTGCGGGCATCAACATGATACTAAATTCTGCGGTCGCTGGGAACATCGCTATGACATCAAACCCTCTACGAGCAGCATGGAGTGGGACGTCTTTAGATAGCGGACCATGCGAGATCTCACCTCATGCAGCGGCACAATCGCAAAGAAGTGCGAAGCTGTGTGCAGGCGGACATTACGGTGGGAAATGTCTGGGTACAGCTCGCTTACCTCTTGCCAGTATGCGGCTCGAAGGCCGTCGAATATCTCAGATGTGGCCTCATCCAGCGACTGGTCGAGCAGCATGAAATCATACCCGCAAAGACTTTGATACACCTTACTGAGATCGTAGTGGATGTCTCCCTGTGTTGTCAGCCTCTTTCCAATTTCCCCTCTCATATCTATGAGAATTATTCCGTCGTCATCAGTGCGGATGATATTGGAGAAAACCGGGTCCCCATGTATAAATTGCGCCCACTGCGTTTTCTGGTTGGCCTCGAAGTCCTCCATGAAATTAATGATGCACTCGGCCATCTTTCCTGTGTCGATGCCGATCTCCACGCCCAAGGAGTCGTACAGCTCCTTGTGTTTCTCTGTGCGTTTTCGGACCTTGTTGGCATAGTTCGAGCACAGCTCCTCAGGGGTTGCGCGCGCCTCCAGCGCACCAGGAGAGCCAATTTCTGCCGCCTGAGTGTGTATTCGATGCAAGGAGCGCACCAACTTGCGCACCCACACCTGCATGAGCAACCGCGATGTTGCCAGATGCGAGAAAGTGACGCCTGCGACTTTGGACATGGTGATCGACGACATCTGATTCGTAGCCTCGTCGCCATCAACGATCTCGAACGGCTCGGGGAAAAGGTCCTTAAGACCCGAGGGGATGGAACGATACCAATGGTTTTCTCCACGCAAGATGTCAGCGGTGGAAGACTTGATGACGCGAGACGTTCCAGCGGCCCTGACCAAGTTAAAGGCACGCGCATCTATCGCCCCTTCGATCGCAGCAAACTCGTCTGCCTCGTGTGACTGTTGGGTTGTGTACCAGCCAAGATCGCGTTCCACATCTGCTTGGCCGTTCAAAGAGCGGGAATCGATGTATACGTCCGCATGCGGCTTCCCAAAGTGAACCTCGTGGTACGGGATAGCAAATTTCTTCAGCATGCCGAACGTGCTGTAGCCCATCTCTGCGATCGCCACGTCCACTCCCCCTTCAAGGATGCTCTTTCCGCCGCCCATCCCGCATCCACGCCTCCACATAGAAGCCTCCCCAATGGGGACCGAGTCGATAGGGTCAGAGGATCGCGCTGCTGATGCATCGCCGATGCACCGGCGATGCATCGGCGCCGTCGACGATGGCTTCGAAGACATCGGCGTGGAGAGGATCGGGCTCCACATCGAGCCGCACCGCCGATGCCGCAGATGCATCGGCGATGCGGCGCGATCCACCGATTCCACCTGAAGTATTCGGACCTCATCTGGGAGGCCTGGACTCCAGCCCCGCCCCTCCCCGATCGTGGGCGGGAGACATACCCGCATATCCGTATCCGCGGCCTCGCGGGCCGTGCTTCTGGGCCGCGACCACGTGAATATCGGGCGTGTTCTCGCGGATGACCCCGCGCGGAGCGCATCCATGCAACCGCGCATCAACGGCATCGCACCCCGGAATCGAGACCGCGAGGGCTTGGATCTGGATGCGTCCGGCTGCTCGTGACCCCATGCTCTCCCCTGTCCCATGCTCTCCCCACATCCCCTCGGAGACGATTCAGAGGCCGACCCGCACAGGGCATTGAGGACAGCTCAGAGCCCAGCCCTGACTCTGAGGAAGGGACTCTCCGTGCGCCCGAGGCCGCGGCGGCCTCCCAGCACGGAGAGGCACCGACCCCCCCCCCACCGCCGCCGCCTCGGCCAACGCCCGAACTCCTGCGTGCAGACCGAGGCGCGCCGTGACGACGCCCGCGATAGGAGAACGCTGAGGCAGGCCGTCGCGGCGGGGGAATCTTCGCCTACTGTCAAAATGGAAGTGGGTCATCATATTCGTCTTTGCCGGCTGACGGTGAGCCGTTCCCGAGGTCCGAGTTCCGAGTTCCCCTCGGAAGAAGGGGATGGGAGGGACGCCACCGCCGCCCCGAGGGCTTCCTGCACACCATGCCGCAAGAGGAGTGCCTGGTGGTGCCCTGTGGCTTAGGAGGAAAGGGACAGCAGAGGGGGGAGGGATGCGAAGAAGAGAAGGCAGCAGCAGCAGCAGCAGCCGCGCCCAGGCTGCCGGCGAGCTGCCGCCTGCACTGCCTGCTGCTGGCGGACGCGTTTTGGCAACCCCCGAATCAACCATCTCCGCAGCTCAAACGAGAGCCAAATAAACTGGGGGGCGGGGAGCTCCTGGCACCGTCGCCGGGGCCAGCGTCCTGCCGCGAGCCGTTCCCGCTGAGGCCCGTGAAGCACACCCCTGGAGAGGCAGTACAGCTTTTGCAGGTCCTGTCGAAGAGTCGTCCAGGGGGCGTCTCTGGGGGTAGTAATTTTCTTCCCGGGTCCGTTTCTGACGGTCACGGGGACCGAGAACGGCCCCACGAGACCAAGCACTACGAAAAACCCACGGCTATGAAACCATACAGACCGGCACTCGAAGCTGCATTGCTTTTCCTGGGCAGCGCAGGCCACCGAAAGACCGGCCCCCGCGGGCGAAACGCCCTGCGCACTCTTGGGTTGTCTCTCCGGCCTGCCGACCCTGCAGTGGCCTTGCGACCCTCCAGCGGCATCCGCCCGGGGTCCGCGGCACTGGGGGCGCTCATGGGCCCGGACGTCCAACGACGCGGTGTTTTCAACAGGCGGCCAGCATCTTATCCATGCCCCTGCTCACACCCCGACCCCGAGAGGCCAGAGCTGCGGGCACGATGTATATTCACACCCACTGCGTCTTGGAAGCCCGAGGCGCCAGTGGATATGGATAAACATCTGCCCCCGAGAGGTCAGATTTTTCCCACCAAGGATATCCGCAGGATGTCTCAATACATGCTGTCTTTACGATTATCAAAAACTGTCGTAACATTCAGTGCCCTCGCGCTGGTTTAGAATGACTGGGGAAACATAACCTTATCCACTATACAATATTCGGCCTTCTGGCGCCCCTTTCCGGAAAGCCCAAGACGCAGTGGATGTGGATATGAATCTAACCCGCAAGAGTGGTGGCATGGAGAAAGTTGTGGCCCCCGGGCCACATGTTTTGATCCATGCCCTGCTGCCCCTGCCGCCCAGAGCGAGGGGAAGCAGCAATATGGATCGAACATCGATCGCCGATTCAACGCGTGGCCCCCAATGAATAATGCCCGACCCCTTCCCGTGATCCAGCTCCTTATCCTGAGCTGTTCCCTGACAGCCCCAAAGACCTAGGGCGGTCTGGGAAGCCGAGGTGGCGGAAAGGCGAGCAGCTCCGCCTTGATGACCTCAAGACGCTGGCCTTCTCCAGGCCACCTATGTTCGAGCATCGCGCCCCGTGGTGCGCGACTCAAGGTCACCGTCGCGCCCTCGCGCCGCCGCCGTGGGGAAATGAACGTCGCTAATTCAGGCCGCGATGCGCCAAGCGCGGTTCTTCGCGCCACCTCGGGTGGCCTGCAGCTCCAGCTAAACTTACAGAAACAACGTTTGAACACCTGGGCCAGCCTAAAGGCACAATCTCGTGCAAACGCTGGCCAGCCCAGCGTGCTTAGCCCCGAACATGCGCAGGGGGTATGAGAAACTGGGCCAGCTTGCTGGAAGCTGCCGAGGAAACGCTGGCGAAGGCGAATTGGAAAGGTCTGAAAATGCGCAATGATGGGTAACTTGTGCCTTGAAAGAAACGGGTCCTGGCGAAACGGGCAATTACGTGATCCCGGGACTCTCCCATGGGAAGGCCCTGGGAACCCGAAAACGAAGAAACCAACTGCAGGATCCGCTTCCTTCAAAGAAGGGAGACAGAAGCATAAACTGGCGGAGCGCCATCGCCGATCCGAGAAACCCGCGCGGACCTCAGAGAATCCCACCCACCCTCTGGGCGGAGGTGGTTTGGCGTGTTTCCTTCTCCACCCATCCCTCTTCTCCCCCTTCGGGGAGGGTTTTATCACTGCTCCTCCTTGATCCACACCCCTTCCCCGACCCGACCATGGGCGAACTCCTAACCCTGCCCCCCCGCTGCCATGGCTGTCAAAAGCGATTAAAGGGCGCACGTCGCGGCAAAGCCTGGACGGTGCGCGGGCGCCATGATAGCACTCTGCATTCGCTGTTGGCGGGGACGGCGAAGAGGTGCCCTCGTATTGTCTGCACTACGCAGGCCCACCAAGCGGCGGGCAAGCGGACAAGCGGCCTGCAGACTAGGTGCCGCGGGGGCACTGCAGGGTGGCGCCGGGGCGCCGCTATTGGTGAAGCAATGCGACAACAACAAGACTCGATACAGCGAATTGTCTGGAAGGAAGACAGGGCCCACCATCCCAGTCAAAACACACAATGCACAATAAACTTTGCGCCACAGTCTGGACCGTGCACGGGCGCCCCGTGACCAGGGGCGGCGGGGGGGGATCCATCACGCTGTCCGCTCTGCGCAGGTCTACGATTGCAGTGGTTCCGGATCCCGCGTGGGCACGCGGCTTCGAGGCAGAACGATGTGTGAACTGGTGCTGGCGCTTCGAGGACCATTCTCGCGGAAAGCTCTGCACTGTGCTTCCGGTGGGGCCGTAACTCATGAACTCATTGGGATCGGGCCCCAAGGTCGGATGCTGCCTGTTTGTTGGGAGGGCAGGTGGGGAGTGAGCGGCATGGGTTGCGGCTTGGGGCAGTTTGATCACTGCTCCGTGTTAACATATATACATACATGCCTCCCCCACCCGACTGGCGACAAACCTGGGACTATGCGGGCCCCCGCCTGGCCATCCCTGTCAACACATGCACTGCACTTTGCGGCAAAATATTGGGTCACGGTCGGGACCCCGGCGAGCACTTTTTACTTTTTCTTGATCGGGACGGCAGGGGTGCCAGCAGACGGTCTGCTGCGCGTACTGCCCTCGTCCCTGTTAAATTATCCCGGCAAAGCAACCTAACAGCCATGTGTAGGAGCATATCTGGCAGCATTCCCTCAGCCTGCATCAGCCTCAGCCTCAGCACGAAGCGACCTAGCTAGAAGGACAAAACGCTGAATGTACACCGATGTGTTCGACGACTGCGTATGTAATGATGTGACGATATAGAGACTGAGCCCTTCGTGAATGTCTACATGTTTTTCTGACGCCTACAAACGGCGCTGACGTGTGTGAGAAAATTGTCCGCGCAGCAAAAGCCGGCGAAGCGCGCGGGAGCTCGCATGCTGAGACAGACTACGTCTGCAGACCGCCAGCTGCAAAAGCTTGCGAGCGGCTCTTGGAAGATGTTTACGGAACGGAGCTACGGAGCTCACCGCAGGAACTCGCATACTGAAAAGGAATGCATCGAAACCGCACGCTGCGAACCCTGCAGGCTGAGAAGCGCCGCAGGATGTCGCATGCTGAAAAGCACTTGTACTGCAGAGCGCTAGCATTCCATCTCGGGCTCGGACCCCCCCGTCCTGATCCAGAACGTGTCCGCGACACGTGCAGGCTCACCGCGCACAGCTGCACACGAGCGCAGGCCGAGAAGCACCACGCGCATGCAGGCTGAGAAGCACCACGCGAATGCAGACGGACAGACTGAACAGGACCGCCACAACGCAACCTGCATCTCATGACTCCTCAAGCTCGCGCAGGCCATCCCAGTTGCTGTCGGGCCTTCGCGCAAGCGATCTTCGTCGCGGCAATCTTGTCCGTGAAGAGCTCGGCAAAGGCCTTGGCGATCTGCTCCGGGGGGCCGGATTCGATGATGTTCCGGTCAGGCAAGCCGTGGCTCAAGAGTTGGTTGAAGCTTCTGGGGCGCGACAGGCTGACGTAGTAGGCAAGCCAAATGGACTCCTTCTTGAGTCCAGGCGGAAACGTCCAGTGCACGATGAAGCCTGGGTCCGTCGTCTTGCCCTGGACGCCATGCAGAGTCCCCTGCTTTTTGGGCAGCACGGTCAACTGCGTCCTGGACACCGCGATGGCCGGGCCACCTGTCTTCGCTTTGAACTTCCAGGGGCGCGCCTGCGGGGTGATCGCGAGCACTCCGCGCAGGTCGGGGCCGGCAGGCTGAGAAGCACTGTTAGCTGTCACCGGCGCGGCCTTCAAGAAAAGTTCATCGCTGTCATCGATCTTGACATAGACGGCCTTTGGCATGTAGTAGAGTACGACCACGCCGTCCGAGACAATGGACGGGCGGCCCTCCACCGGAGGCTCCAGAGCGTGCAGCTCTATGCCTACCACTTTGCCTGGCGCGCCACGGACATACTTCGGCGGCAAGACGGATTCTGTCAGGATGACCTCCATGCCAACGAAGAGCGGCAGCAGCCCCGGCATTTTTGCGGTAGCGCCGATGTTGGGCTCCGCGCGCATCTCGTCGTAATCAGGCTTCGCGAGGCGCGCAGCTGGTCTGTCGATTGCTGGGACGTAAAAGAGCAGCTGGCCAGCATCGTGCGCATCAAGCTTGGCCTGTGCATGCATGGCGTAAGAGACGATGCGCCACTCATAGGCCGACTCGTACCAGCCTCGTGCTGCACGCAACCGAGGGTCCCACTGAGGTGGCTGAGCGGCTTGGCTGCTGCTGGCAGCAGGCTGAGCAGCACCGCTAGAGCTAACGACCTCTGTTTTGACGATCGCCTGCCAGCTCTCGTCAGAGATCTTTTTTCCGCCTGGAGTTCTCATGGCGTGGAGAACCTCGAGTTGCAACGGGTCTGTAAAGCGCTGCATCTGCACGAAATCGATGACGTACTCGATGTCGGCGAGCAACTTCCTACCCTGTTGGTGTTCGTAGGATTGGCCCGCGTGAGGCGCCAGCAGGGAAGCGGTGGCGGGGACTGGCGGCAACTGGTAGAAGTCTCCGCACAAGATCTTCACAGGCATGCGTCCCCACGTCTCCTGCGGGCGCATGTACTTCGTGGGGTCCAGGTTGTAGCGCAACGCCCTGCCGTAGGTCGTGCGCAGTGCATCTGCATGCAGCAAAGGCCCCGGCACAGCACCCAGCTCATCGATCACGTCGACGCCGAGTGTGCCTGTGAGGCGATCCAGCTTTTTCTGCGTCTGTGGCGTCAAGCGCAGCCTGGCTGTCTGCATGGAATCCGACATGAGCAGGCCATTGGAGGAATGCATGGTCCTGCCGCGCGGGCCGAGGTTGTGTGCGGCGTGGTTGGACTGCGCTTTGCCGAGGTACCCCTGCTCGCCGAAGTAAGTGATGGCCATCGGCTCCACCACTTTGGAGAGGGTGCGCGTCTTGCCGACACCGCCTCCACCGAGCCAGATCGCTCTGTGGTTGCCTGTCGCGGACGCCACGGGGAGGAGATGCGTTGTCTTGTCTGGTCTGCCGTCAAAACGTTTCTGCAGAGACAACGCAAACAACGCCACCGCGTCAATCTGCTCCTCCGTGCAGTGGGCATCAGTGACGAGCTTCCACGCAACAGCCGCCGGGCCCTGCATGGCCAAGAGCTGCGGAACGAGTTCTGGTTGGGCGTCCTCGGCAGCAGGCTGAGGAGCACCGCTGGGGAGCCAGTCGTCCGCAGCATCGGGCAAGATCTCTCCATCCGGGCTCGCTTGCTTCTTTTGGAGCGCAATGCTTTGCCGCTGTAGGGCGAGCATGTCAGAAAAGGTCTCGTCCAGCCGCGTGCCCTGATGTTCCCGCGCGCCGCTGCTGGCTGGCAGTGCAAAGCTTGGCTGCAGCATGCCGCTGTACGCTCTGTCGAGGTTCTTCAACTGCTTATCGGCGTAGCTGAGGCGGCCCTTCTGGTCCAAGCGCTGCAGTTGGTCTTGCTGTAGGGCCAGCTCGGTTGCTCTG